CTCAAGGTCTTACACATCTAAAATCCACAATACTGCTCCAAGAGCGAGACCATCGATGTCCCTTTTTCTGGATGTTCTAGAGCAGCTTCCAACCCTCACAGTACTTGACTTACACGATGCTCTTCCCCATGTTGCTGATGGCTTTTCAACTGTGTCATACCAACGCAACGTTAAACTGTGCTTGTTGACAAATTTAGATCTCGCGGGCTCTGCTTCCGACTGTTCTACTGCATTAAGGCATTTATCTGTGTCATCCAGTGCCGCCCTTAAGCTAGCTTGCCGAAGCACAGTGGTGTCTGGTGCTGAAATCTCCAGTATCCTGACTTTTATCAGTGGCTTATGGGGACCAACAGCTATCGGATCTAGTGCTGCAAAACCACATAAGTGTCCCATCCGCAGTCTTAGAATTCAGCGGTTTGATTCAGGGGATTCTGATTCAACGGGCTTACAAGCCTGGCCCACCGTGTTGTCGTTTCACACAAAGTTGTCTGAAGATCCGGATCCGCCGCCTTTCATAGATTTGTATTTCCAATGGTCTTCAGCGACCATTACGCCCGGAATTGGGGATAAGGTAATCGCAGAGACCTGTGCTGCTTTACCTTTGGGGCAGCTCGTTTCGTTGGATGCTTTAAGCCAAATGACAGAACAAACGTTGTTGAGGACATTTGGGAAGCTCGCACATCTCAGATCCATACGTGCATCAGGGCTGGCCATACGCACGCTTCTGTCAGCCATGATTGCTGAACCTAGTGCTACTGCTACTAGCACAAATGTGTCCACAAATTTATCGACGTGGAAACACTCACACAATCGGAGAGAGCTGCCCCTTGCAGTTTACTTTCCCTCCCTGGTCCATCTTGCAATTGAAAACACGAACTTTGATTCAGGTTACAACGGAAAATATGCCAAGCGGCAGGATTTGAAGGAATGCCTGAGGGAACGTTACGAGAGGAAGGCCGAAGTGCGCGAGCTGACGCTTTCTCGATGTTATGGCCTGACGACAGAGCTTGTTGACGAACTTAGAAAGGTCGTTGTGGATGTAATTTGGGATGAATGGGAGACAGATAACAGTGAAGATGATTATGAGGATGATTTTGATTTGGACGACGACTAGTACTTGTTCAGGGGCCCCATTCTGCTGCAACAAACAGCAATCACACAATTATGTCAGTATATTTCATCCAGTTTCTATAAATTTTACATGGATCTCTTCGCATGAAAGAGGAGAATGGAATGAGCTATAGAATGTCGTGAACGGACGTGATTTGCTTGTGTTATGGCTTGCACGGCGATTTCATAGCAAATGCGGCGGATTTTTAAACAACTAGCGCGGTGCTTCGCTCCGCTCAGCCCCTTGCAGCTTTTGATTAGTAATAAGAATGTAAACAGAGGCACAAGAAACCAACTTGAAGGCTTCAAGGTACTTATGTAGAAAAGCAGCATGGGCTGCGTTCCGCGGAAGTGTTGGGTGGTATAAAATAAAATGCCTGGCATTTGAATTTTTTTACTTTACATTTGTGCAAGCACTTGTCTCTCCTTATCAGCGGTCAGAGCCCTTTTCGAAGCAGCATAACCCATGCTTGCCACCTCTGAAATCCCTTGGTGGGCAGGGAATTGCACCCCGTTACCAAGCTCATAACCCATAAGTTCGCAATAATCCATAATCCATACTCCTCCTGGACAAAACCCCATAGATTTAGGACCCTTTTCCTGATATGTACACAAAGTCTGCCACAATACCCCTCCTCCCCAGGCTCGACCATTAAGCTAACACTGCTGAAGAGAAATGCATCAATAATGACTTGCACAGCATTGATTGATTGAAAGTTCGATGACTTTCATGAGTGCTTATTTTCCCCCCCAGCCCGTGCCATACATAACCCCTTAAAAACCATAGCCTGGACTGTCCACTGAGGGGTGACTGTATGTGTCTATGCTGTCTGTCGAACCGCAATTGCGTTGATGACTAACACACATGTGAACTTGACTGGTGTAAACAGAGGTACACAAAAAATCGGCTGTACTGATTTGAAGTCAAAAGAACTCCGATCACCCGAACAATTAAAGAGCCAACTTTGAATAGCTTGAGATCTGGGATTGTGAAATTTGTAGCACTGAACACCCTCCAGAAAGCGTTGTCCTGCTTGGAAAGCAGTCGAACACACTCGACTCAACACGGAGAATCAACAAATTCCATTGATGACAAAGAATTCACGTGAAAAAATCAATTGATGGTGATAGTTTTCGTGACGATCGGGTAAATAAGTGGGGCCCTACAACAACGACCGGCTTCGCTGAGGCAGAAGAGCGAGCACATCGTCGCGCAAAATAAATATCTGGCATGTTGCAAAAACGACGAGATCTGGACATATGCAACGCCTCTCTCAAGAGCTGCCTGGGGACGGAGCACAAACAGTAATGGAACACCGTGGGAAAAGCTCCAAAACCTAGCCTAATTATTCGTATATATATATATATAGATTGATGGCGCGTCGGAGTACTCCGGTTGCGATCAAATCCATCTGTATTATCCATATGCAAACCGAATGAACTGACTCTTATGCCCTGAAATTTGCAATGGCGACGAACGCCATCTATCCACTGCACCAAATATTCCAGTGACCAGTCCAAAAATTGGTTGAAAGCCGCCGTCACCACTACAACTTTTTTTCGGACTAGAGCTGCTTCGATTCCTCCCATTGGCAACCTCCCATAATTCTTCAGCTCAAGTAGCTTGCGAATAGCCGACCGACTCCGTGCCTAACTGCTTGACCAAAAACAGCTTCTCCGTCTAGACGTTGTTCGGAATGGTGTTCCGCCTGTCGAGAATATCGAAGAAGGCTTGATCTGCTGCTTTGAAGTTCAAAGATTTTTATCTGCGCACTCTTTGCTTTCGCTCCTGTGACTATTGGTCTATCCCCAACTCTCTAGGATGGTTGTTCCCCAACTCTCCAGGATGGTTGTTCCCCAAATTTTTAGGAGGGTTGTGTCGGTCGCGAACGGGAAATGAACAGCTCTGAATGATCTGTTCGGTGGGCGTCTCTGTTCGGCAGGCGTGGCAAATTGAAGATTCAAGTAGGTTAGTTACATAACCAACTCCAATGAACGAACACACACCACTCGACAACTTCAACGTGTCAGGATTCATCGTTGGTCCAAATCTTCCATTTGATAAAGTCGATGATCACCAAGTTTCCACCGGTATGTTGCCAGTTTCAAGTTCAATTAGATTTGAAGTCGTGATGTCTAGTACTCAGCCCAAGATACTCGACGAGCCTGCCAAGACGGCGCTGATGGTGCTCTACTCGGGGACCGTACTCAAGGCAAGCGCGGAGGGGATCAAGATGAGATGAACAAGGTTCAACAGCGTTATGGATCTGGCTTCAACAACTTCCAAGTCAACGCTCAGAATGTGAAACTCGAGCCCGTCGCACCTCTTCGGATGTCTGCCAACCGTTGGGACAGGAAGGCGATGCGGGTCGATCCTGATTCACCCGCATTCGTGGATCGCAAGGTCAAGGCTTTACTTAACAAGTTGACCATGCAGAAGTTCGATTCCATCTCTGATCAAGTTATCGCTTGGGCGAATAAATCGGAGAAAGAGAAGGACGGACGGACTCTCATTCAAGTCATTCGACTCGTCTTTGAGAAGGCTATTGATGAAGCTATTTGGTCGGAGATGTACGCCCGCCTTTGCAGGAAAATGATGGAACAAATCAGCTTCAAAGTCCAGGATGACGGTATCAAGGCCACAGACGGAAAGCCCATCACTGGTGGTCAACTCTTCCGAAAATACATGCTCAACAGATGTCAAGAAAATTTTGAGCGCGGTTGGGTAGCGAAGGAGGCAACCGCTGCTGCTGCTGCTGTCAAAGCTTCGAGGGATGAAGCTGCAAAGGCTGTCAGCCGGCAGAGCAAGGAGGGTGGGACTGAGAAAGTCGCGCCTTATTCTGATGAATACTACGCTGCACAGAAGGCCAAGCGACAAGGTCTCGGTCTGATCAAGTTCATTGGAGAACTCTTCAAACTACAAATGTTGACTGAGCGTATTATGCATGAATGTATCAAGAAACTGCTCGGAAACGTGGAGAACCCAGAGGAGGAAGAGATTGAAAGTTTGCGCACATTGCTGACCACTGTCGGCGCCAGTCTCGACACACCGAGGGCCCGGGCCTATATGGACGTTTATTTCTCTCGGATGAAGGAGCTTTCCAAGAGCCAGAATGTAAGCTCACGGGTGCAGCTCGTCTTGCAGGTCGGTACCAAATTTTCAACATTCTCTCAACCGCACTAATTCAAAATGTTCAGGATATCATTGAGTTGCGAGAACGGAAGTGGATTTCCCGTAACGGAGTTGCTGCACCAGCGACGATTGCTCAGATTCATGCAATGGTGAGTCGTGAGGAGCATAACATGTGCAAACTCTTATTTGGGTTCGAATAGGCTGAAGCGGCTCAAGATAAGGAGTCTTACAATCGACAAATCGGAATGTCTCGCGGTGGGAATCGGGGCGAGTTTACACTAGTGGGGCCTGACGGTTGGGCTGTCGCTGGTGGTGGCTCTGGTGCTCCTCGTCCCCTTCCCAAAGTTGGTGATCTTTCCAACTTTGGAAAGATTAGCAAGACACAGCCTATGACGTTTGGTCCTAGCAGTGTATTCGCTGGCAAGAAGGGTGCAGAAAGCAAACGGGAACTAATCCCTCGAACAAGCTCGAGTTCTAACATGTTCTCTATGCTCCGGAATACTGAAGCAGGGGTGGGCACCACAGCAAAAGGTGAAGTTTTACGCAGATCATTGGATGACAACATACTAAATACTTCAATAGCTGCACCCGAACCCCCACAGTGCAAACATCTCGTTCCGCAACCCCGTTCCAAGCCCGTTGAAGACGCTGAAGCTGCGCCATCCAATGTGGAGCCGGAGGTCAACCCTTTAGAGGATGAGGCTTCGCCAGAGATGAGTGATGAGGATGCCAAAAAAAAGATAGCCGAGGATTTGACGGAATTTTTTGGCATCCGAAACTTGGACGAAGCCGAAGTTTACTTTTCCGCGCTCCCTAGCCAACATCATCATGATCTGGTGGATAAACTCGTCTCAACCGCAGTCGAATCTAATAAAGCCGACGCTCAACTTGTGGCCGATTTCTTCAGCCGTGTTGCTGCCAAGGAGCTGTGCTCTCCTGCGGCATTGGAGGAGGGTTTTTCTCGCATCGCCGAGATCATCGACGACATT